ATCTTTGTTTTTATCTTTCACATCTTTGCTTATATCCTTTTCTTTTTATATTCACGTAGATGAGATGAGGTGCGATGACGTGATAAGATGTGGCGTGATTTTATGTGATGTGATAGGATGTCATGTCATGTGTTGTCATATCCTCTGATGTCATACCATATGATGTCATATCATGTGATGCCACGTCATGTAATGCCATGTCATGTCATACGATGTCAGATCATGTAATGTCAAGTCATGTGAAGTCATGCCATATAATGTGATGTAATATCATATAATGTCATGTCATGTGATATCGTGTGATGTGATATCATATTATGTGATGTAATATCGTGTGATGTGTTGCCATCTAATGTGATCACATTCCATGTTCCGATTAGTATATCGATAACCCTGTTGATAACTGTGTCGAATACCGATAACAATATCCATAAAGATAGAAAAATACAACGATTGTAAAATCGATTAATTCATCGATAAATACAACGATCTTCAGTATCGATTATTGTACATATCGTTAACAATATAAATGACTAAATCGATAACAAATTCAATTATTTAATCGATTATTATGCCGATAACAGTATCCATTATTGTATCGATAACAATATCGATTATTATATTGATTATTATATCGATTGAAATAGCGGTTATTTAATCAATAACAGTATCGATAACAATATCGATTATTTTATCGATAGCAATATCGATTATTATATCGATAAAAATATCGAGTTTTATATCGATAACAATATCGATCTTCATCCTCATCCTTTTCTTCATATTTACCTTTATTTTTGCATATTCCTCTTCACCTTTACCTTAAAGTGTTTAAATTTACTTTGATCTTCGTTTTTGCCTGTACCTCTAGGCATCTTTGTTTTTGTTTTTATTCTCAAACCGCTAAACCGCTGAGAACCATTTCCATGTGCATTATTCCCCTTGAATTTGACAATTTACTCCCAACCAACGAACTGCCGCTAAAGAAGTTTCACTTCATAAATTCAAGAAATGTTCTTACCCTTTTAGTTACCCTAATTCTTATGTATCTGTCATTGTCTTCATTTTCGTCTTTATCTTCACTTTAGCCTTCTTTTTTTTTGACTTCATCGTTATCATTTATTTCTTCATCTTCATATTTATCTTTATTTCAAAGCTTAATTTCAAATGTGTGGCGAAACAACAGGCGAAACATGTCAAATTGAACATGTATACACAATTCGAAAATGTTTAAACGACGGTTTTGGCCGTAATTTTCAACCAATTGTGAAACCATAAAAACTCTGCTCATCTACGGAAAAATGCCTTTCCAACGGTGTTCTTGGTTTTGAAATCGGTTCGGTAGAATCGCCAAACGAACGGAGACAAAATTTATGTTAGCGTATTAATATATAGATTATTTAATAAGTTAAATCAGTTATTAAAGTATGGGTATTACTATAAATTGGTTTGAAAAGACTCAATTTCTAATAAATTTGTAGGAGTGTTGCCACCCGTTTAAAACGTTAAATTCAACAAAAATTAAGGGAGTTAGGTTAATGAATACATACATATTTATGTATTAAAATATGGGCGTTAGAATACGTGAAGCAATTTTTTGTGAAGGAGATCAGATCTGCACAGTTCTCTCGAATTTAAAAAATGAGATGTCAAATTAAGGACATCGGTTTTATTTTTTGAAGTAAGAACTTTTTTAGAGGTACAGGGTGAATTGATGCAATTTATATCGATAATAAAACCTATAAAAATATCGATTTCAAAATCGATGACAAATGCGTTAAAAATCTCGATAGCAAAATCGATAATAATATTGGTAGCAAAATCGATTTGAAAATCGATAAAAATATCGATAACAAAATCGATAAATAATTGATAACAAAATCAATAAAAATATCCGATAACAAAATCGAT